CCCCCCTGCGCCCCCCCCCGGGGCGGGCTGCGGAGGGAGAGCTCCCCCTCTTTTGTCAGGGCCTTTGGAGAAGGGGGAGTCTCCTCCCAGCCTCCTCTGCCTCCCCTCCAGCCTGCCCAGCTCGCAGCTCCTGAGCTGGAGTTGCAGGAGTTACTCACACGCCTCAGCAGCAGCACAAAGGGGTGAACAGAGCTGTAGGTGAGGCTGGGGAGGGCAAGGCTGGTCAGCAGACCAAGGTGCAGGACCAGGGCCACCCACTCCACTCACCCCCTTCAGGGTTCACCCTCCACCCTGCAGCTCCCTGTCCCAAATCCTGCAGTTTTCTGCCCCCTCTTCAAGCCCCTTCCACCCAGAGCACAGCTGCCTGCTGGCTCCCAGTGTTTAAAAGCCAGAAGAGCTGTGACAGGGTTGACTTCCCAAGGTGCTGGGCTGACTTCCCAAGGTGCTGAGCACCTTCCACTGCAAGGAAACCAATACTACCCTGAAATAGAAGCCAAATTGCATTTGAACTGGGGCAGGGACTGTGTCACCTCACCCCTCTGTAAAGCTTTAGAGAAAGTTATTATGTTCTCCAAGCAACATTTATTCCTGATCAACAGCTCTTGCAGCAGCTTAATTAAATCCATGGCTTGCATTTATTAAAAATCTAGACTGATACAAATTAAGAGGTGCAATTTGCCCTTAGATATCTCCTTTGGTTTCCAAGCCAACAGCACCCTTCCCTCAAGCTGCTCATTAGCTACCAACAGGGGCTGGAGAAAGAGGTTGCTCAGCATGATTTAGTGCAACAGGGCAAGACACTGAGGTACACACAGAAGGAAGAAAAAGAGCTGGGGGAAAACATCTCCCTGTACCTCCTGGGCTGTGGTGAGAAGAAAGGCTGCTCCCCAACAGCCATTCCCAACCCTCAGCCCCAGGGAGAAGGAAGACACAGCATTCCCTACCTCCTTGTGGAAGGCTATAGCCTCACTGAAGTTGCCAAGTAAGTACTGGGTGTTGCCAAGGTTGCCATAAGCACGGCCCTGTGCAGCTCTGTCCCCCAGCTCCTTCACCAGGGATAGGTTCCTCCTGAAAGAAACCAGAGCAGTATCTGGTGAGACACAGCAAAGAAAGGAGAGCTAGCCCTGGAGGAGGCACCTGGAGGAGGACTGTGCAGTCACCCCAGGCAGGGGCAGCTCCCAGGATCTGTGCTGGCTGCAGAGCTGGGGGCTGGTGCAGATCCAGTGGCATCAGTCCCTGCTGCTCTCTCCAGCCCAGGCAACCCGTGCACAGGAGCTGCTCACACCCCAGTGCTGGCAGGGTCCCTGTTAGCTAAGGAATGGCCACCTCACTCCATGGCAAGAGCCAGAAGAAAGGAGATTACCCACATCAGGACAGGGCCAGACCTGGGCTGAGGGGCAGGACCCACAGTCCCATGCCACAGCTCTTCTCATGGAGCTTCCCAGCATTTCTGTACTTTTTTTTCCCCCTTTTACACACAGAGCTCCCAGATGGCACAGAGTTACCCCCTGGCTCTGCTGAATGCACCAGGCTTTGGAAAAAGGATGGGGAGCTATATATAGGCACCATCACATCCTCAGAGAGAAGATGGATATAAGATCTTGTCGCTCTCTTCATTTAAAAAGGCTACTTAAAAAAACTCTCCCTTATTGAAGCTGAACTCTGGAACGAGTTAATGAGGAGAAAAATATCAGCCTGAAAGTCTGGTGACAGCCTTGCTGTGTGGGGCTTCAGGGTGAGCTTTGGAACTAGCCAGGAATGGGAAGGATAAAGTAGATAAAGTAAAGAAGAAGCTAAAGTCCAGATCCACGAGAAGGACAAGTGGGGCTTCAAGTGGAAAGCTCCTTGGGTGAAGGAGGGTCTCTGGTGGCCCCAGTGATGCAGACACAGAGATCCTTTCTCATCCAGGCCAGCAGAGAGCAGCAGGGGCTACAGGAGCTAACAATCCAGCTTCCCAATGCAGCTCTCAGAAGGAGCAACTATGAAACTTAATTGCATAATCATACTCCAAACGACAGCGAGTTTTACTGAGGCAACACCAGGATGAATTTTGGCTCTAATGTTATCAAAGCTTGCAGGCCCTCTCTCACCTTCCTTGAGATCAATTTCCCATCATAACTTGGCATCTCAGGGGACTATTCTGAATGCATTACAACACACAAAATCTCACCCAGCAGCCTGATTTTCAACAGCACGAACCCCACAGTCTCATTCTGTGCAACAAACATCTTCCAGAGCTCCCACATCCTCAGTGGCCCAGGAAACCAACCCTCCCCATGAGAAAAGCTTCCAGCAGGAGTCACTAAGATTTGTCTCCTTGTCCTGTGTGTGGCCATCGTTACCCCAAGGGTTATCAGAGCTCAGCTAACAGCAGACCCTGAAAGCTGCCAGCAGCACAGGGAGGCTGCAGATGCAGGTTATGCCCTGAGCAGGATAAGCTCAGAGGTGGAGCTGTGTGCATTTCAGCAGTCACTGATGCCTGACCAGCCCTGTTCCCTGCAGGAGGAAGGGCTGGCCCAGCTTCAATACTTACTCATAATATTCTGAAGCTTTCTGTAGTGTCTCCTTGACTTCTTGAGGCAGGTAGCCAGGGTCTTGGGCCACGTTCCAAGACAAGTGCTTTCCCTTTGCATGGTAAACATTCCCTATGTTATAGAGTGCTCTGGCTTCACCTACCTAAAGGGAGGAAGAAGAGGGAGCAGCAAGGTGTTACACTGCACATCCCAGCGTGGACCTTTCCCTCGCTGGGCAGAGATGGTCAAAGCCAGGAGGCCCCCAGGGTTCCTTCCCCAGCTCCCTGTGGTGGCAGCTGACCTGTGACAGCAGCCAGAAGGGAGAGCTTTCCACTCCACTCCTCCCAAAGCCCACTTTCACCATGTCACGCTCACTGGCTTGCAGACAAACTTTTTTTAAAGCTAGGCAATATCTCCTGTTGGATGCCATGAACCATTTTACCTTGTCTCCCTGCTCCTGAGAGATGTCCAAGTGTCTCTGGCAACAAACCACAGCTTCATCAAACTGCCCAAGGATTTTCAGTGTATTCCCAAGGTTGCCACTGGCCTTGGCTTCTCCAATGCGGTCCCCAATGGTCCTACAAGGTGGCCAGAAAAGGAAGAGAGGTGTTACAGAGCTCAGACTCATTCACCAGCTGTTGGAGGCAGAGTTCAAGCTGCAGTGGGTGCTGGGTGGTGTGGTCACCACCGTGTCCAGCAGTTCCCAGCCCATGCTCCACACAGGCACCCTCAGTCTGGAGGGGAGAGCCTTGTTCCCCATTTTGCTGTCTCAGGTGAACTGCTCTAATGACCTCAGGTGTAGGGACATGAGTACCTGGGGCCAGGAGAACAGGACACTGCCCTGCTCCTGCCCCAAGAGCCTTCCTCACACCCACACCCCTTTCTCCACCTCCCTGCTCTGAAGGTGGTTGTCCCATTCCTGTCACCTCCCGAGCTCTCCACAGGACAGTCACCCCATGCCTCAGGGCTAGTTTTGGGTGCTTATTTTTGGGGCAGATTCCCTCAGGCTGCTGGGTTCAGACCCCACAGAACTTGCCCTGCCAGGCTGAGTCCTGCTGGGATGAAGCACTGCTGCTGCCATGCTTACCTGGCCAGGGTCAGGTCGTGTTTGTGGTACTCCAGAGCCTTGGAGTACTCCTTTAGGTAGAAATAGGCATTGCCCAGCTGACTGTAGATGGCACTGAGAGTCTTCAGGTCCTCTGTCCCCACCTGCACTGCTGCCTCGAAGAAAGCTGCCCCAGCTTTGAAGTCCCCAGCCTTGCACAAGCGCTCTCCTTCCAGGGCCAGTTCCAGGCAGGATGCCTCCATTCTGCCAAAAGCAAGACCATCATTTCCAGAGGAGCTGGGCTGCAGCCCACCCAGGCTGCTGTGCAACGACTGAAAAGTTCACTTCATTGTGCACCTTTAATTACTTTCTGCACCAGAATAAAACCTGCAAGCCCAACACCCTGGGGAGAGCCACCCCCCAGGCAGCAGCTGCCTGTGTGTTCAGCCCCAGGGCTCCAGCCCCAGCTCAGACACTGTCTGGGTGACAATAACAAGGATGTGTAGCTAGCACACCTCAGTGGTGTGGACACCAGCTTTCAGTGCCCATGGTGGGCACTCAGCCTCTGTGAGAAGCCAGCCTCCAAGGCAGGAGACACAGGAGCACCCTGATTTACAGACCCCATCTGCAAGCAGCCAGAGGCAGCCCTTGGCTTCCCAGTTGGAGCACCCTGATTTACAGACCCCATCTGCAAGCAGCCAGAGGCAGCCCTTGGCTTCCCAGTTGGAACCTGGACAAGAAACTCAGAGCTCCTGGCTCTCCAGACACACACTCATATTGCAGGAGTAACACAGCATCTGTTTTTCTTGCAGGTGGTGCACAGCCCCAAAGCCACGTCCCCAGGCTGTGCACGCCTGCACCACCTTCCCCAGGGTAACAGAGAGGGTAGCCAAATCCTCACACATTTTTATTGGACACCAGACAAAACCCTGGGCTGTGCAGAATTTCTCAGCCGAGCAGCTTCCAGCACTCGGGGTCTGTTTTTCATTAACTCTCCTGCTGTCACTTTTTCCACAGGCACCCTGCACACCACTCTCCAGGCTTGCTCTCCTCCCTTCCATGTCCCCACGAGTAGCCAAAGTTCTCAGAAGGGACAGAGCACGTGTTTGAAACCTTGCATTGGAAATGTCTTGTCTGCTGCCAAGTCAGCCCCTTCGTGGGGTGGATGGACACAGCGTGTTCCTGCTCCTCCAGCCAGATGCTTCTCTTTGCTTTTTTTTGGCTTTAAGATTAATTTTTAAAAGTCAAAACTATGTGGGTCAAAGGTGGATACCTGCTCAGGAAAAAAAGAACAGCTCACTTGCCCTGAGTCAGAAAAGTGAGGGTCAGACAAAGGACCACGAATGTCCAAAGGTGTCTCCTCTTGTGTTGTCAGGCAAAGGGCACTGCAGGCAGTGTGCCCGTGGTACCCAGACCCAGAGGAGAGCTCTCTCCTCATCACTGCAATCACACCAGCCCT